CAGACTCCGGACACTTGAGCCCCCACCTGCTCACTTACAGATAGCTCCTGCTGCTGCTGCTGCTGCTGCTGCTGCTGCTGCTGCTGCAGCATCTCGTGGCTGTCGGTGGACAGCAGAGGTTTTGTGTCTGCGAAGCAATTCGCAGACTCCGGACACTTGAGCCCCCACCTGCTCACTTACAGATAGCTCCTGCTGCTGCTGCTGCTGCTGCTGCTGCTGCTGCTGCAGCATCTCGTGGCTGTCGGTGGACAGCAGAGGTTTTGTGTCTGCGAAGCAATTCGCAGACTCCGGACACTTGAGCCCCCACCTGCTCACTTACAGATAGCTCCTGCTGCTGCTGCTGCTGCTGCTGCTGCTGCTGCTGCTGCAGCATCTCGTGGCTGTCGGTGGACAGCAGAGGTTTTGTGTCTGCGAAGCAATTCGCAGACTCCGGACACTTGAGCCCCCACCTGCTCACTTACAGATAGCTCCTGCTGCTGCTGCTGCTGCTGCTGCTGCTGCTGCAGCATCTCGTGGCTGTCGGTGGACAGCAGAGGTTTTGTGTCTGCGAAGCAATTCGCAGACTCCGGACACTTGAGCCCCCACCTGCTCACTTACAGATAGCTCCTGCTGCTGCTGCTGCTGCTGCTGCTGCAGCATCTCGTGGCTGTCGGTGGACAGCAGAGGTTTTGTGTCTGCGAAGCAATTCGCAGACTCCGGACACTTGAGCCCCCACCTGCTCACTTACAGATAGCTCCTGCTGCTGCTGCTGCTGCTGCTGCTGCTGCATCTCGTGGCTGTCGGTGGACAGCAGAGGTTTTGTGTCTGCGAAGCAATTCGCAGACTCCGGACACTTGAGCCCCCACCTGCTCACTTACAGATAGCTCCTGCTGCTGCTGCTGCTGCTGCTGCTGCTGCTGCTGCTGCTGCTGCTGCAGCATCTCGTGGCTGTCGGTGGACAGCAGAGGTTTTGTGTCTGCGGAGCAATTCGCAGACTCCGGACACTTGAGCCCCCACCTGCTCACTTACAGATAGCTCCTGCTGCTGCTGCTGCTGCTGCTGCTGCTGCTGCTGCAGCATCTCGTGGCTGTCGGTGGACAGCAGAGGTTTTGTGTCTGCGAAGCAATTCGCAGACTCCGGACACTTGAGCCCCCACCTGCTCACTTACAGATAGATCCCCCACATGTTCATCTTCATGTTGCTGCTGCTGCTGCTGCTGCTGCTGCTGCTGCAGCATCTGGTGCCTGTCGTTGGACAGCAGAGGTTTTGTGTCTGCGAAGCAATTTGCAGACTCCGGACACTTGAGCCCCCACCTGCTCACCTACAGATAGCTCCTGCTGCTGCTGCTGCTGCTGCTGCTGCTGCTGCTGCTGCAGCATCTGGTGGCTGTCGGTGGACAGCAGAGGTTTTGTGTCTGCGGAGCAATTCGCAGACTCCGGACACTTGAGCCCCCACCTGCTCACTTACAGATAGCTCCTGCTGCTGCTGCTGCTGCTGCTGCTGCTGCTGCTGCTGCTGCTGCTGCAGCATCTCGTGGCTGTCGGTGGACAGCAGAGGTTTTGTGTCTGCGGAGCAATTCGCAGACTCCGGACACTTGAGCCCCCACCTGCTCACTTACAGATAGCTCCTGCTGCTGCTGCTGCTGCTGCTGCTGCTGCTGCTGCAGCATCTCGTGGCTGTCGGTGGACAGCAGAGGTTTTGTGTCTGCGAAGCAATTCGCAGACTCCGGACACTTGAGCCCCCACCTGCTCACTTACAGATAGCTCCTGCTGCTGCTGCTGCTGCTGCTGCTGCTGCTGCTGCTGCAGCATCTCGTGGCTGTCGGTGGACAGCAGAGGTTTTGTGTCTGCGGAGCAATTCGCAGACTCCGGACACTTGAGCCCCCACCTGCTCACTTACAGATAGCTCCTGCTGCTGCTGCTGCTGCTGCTGCTGCTGCTGCTGCTGCATCTCGTGGCTGTCGGTGGACAGCAGAGGTTTTGTGTCTGCGAAGCAATTCGCAGACTCCGGACACTTGAGCCCCCACCTGCTCACTTACAGATAGCTCCTGCTGCTGCTGCTGCTGCTGCTGCTGCTGCTGCTGCTGCTGCAGCATGCTGGT